GAGGGAGAGAGAGAGGGGGGAGAGGGAGGGGGAGAGAGAGAGAGAGAATGGTTTATTTAAAATAAAAACCTTTGCAGCACCAGTGCTGAATTGCGGCTTTTGTACAAAAAAGTCACAAACATGTCATCAGGACTTACATATTATACATTACGCATTACAAATAAGAAGTTTAAAATCTGGAAGATCACTAGTATGGCAACTTAAAAATCTATCATGACTTTGATTAGCATTTACTGTCATTTACCAAGCGAACACAATATGGTAAGTGTACTGTTAAGCACACACTGTGTATCTGTATCGGTATAGCCGGTATAACCGCCCTTCGGTGAAACACACCAGCTTCGCAGGCACACGGCACAGCATTTAAACTGTTAGTTTTGTAGTTCCTACCTGGATGGACTCGAGTCGCTCGGAGAAGGTGTCTTCGATGGCGGTCTTCTCACGCTGAAGCTGTTCGAAGGCGGCCTCCCGGGAAAGCATCTCGGCCTCGATCATTTCCAGGTGTTTGGCGAGGTCCTCCTTCCCCTTCATGGCAGCCTGCTGCGTGTCCAGCACCTGCAGTGGATTAATGAATGAATGGTTTTATTCTGTAAAACATTGCTGCCATCTCCTAATGACTTAAGTTTCATCAGGTTGGTAAATCACTGAGTAAAAAGACACTTTTTACACTCAAGTCTTTTGTATGTTTGGGAATGCATCTATAGCAGTGACACCTGTGCTGCAATGCAATGTGAACCTGTCATGACAGGCAGTCACCAAAATATTGGGTGAATAAAAGACTTGGTTGTGTAAAAAGAGTCTCTTTAGTCATTGCAGCCATCTGGCTGAAATACTTTTCACTTACATCCAGGAAATAACACTGACACAACTCACTTCAACCGATAGCGTAAAATATTAAAATAAAATAATACAATTACTACCTACAAAAAGGCAGCAGAATCTTCAGCTAATTGAAGGCGGCTGCTTCAAGATGAAAGAAGAAGAAGAACACTAACCTGCTGACGGAGGTTCGCATTTTCGCTCTTCAGCTGCTCCAAGACAGCCGACTGCGAGACGTAGCTTGTCTGAAACGTGGTGAGCTCGCTCTGTAGCTGCACCCGTGCCTCCTGCGTGAACTTCAGCTGCTCCTGGAACCAGTCCTTGGCACTCACCAATGATTCCACATCGCCCTGCGCTACGTTTAGTTCGCTCTGAGCTTGCAGTCTCTCCTGTTGGACTTCCTTCAGTTGGACCTGTAGTCCTGACAGCTGGGACTTGATTTCTTCAAGGTTTGTCTCTTTCCCCTCGAGCTCCCTCTTCAGCTCTTCCGCTTTCTCAAGAAGCTTGGAGTTTGACTCGTGCGCTGCGCGTAGCTCATCGTTCAGCACCTGTATCGTCTGCGCCTTGTTTTCCAGCTGCAGCTGTAGGTCCTGCAGCATTTTCTCCAGGTGCTCCTTGTTCTGTTTCACAACTTGCAGCTCGTTCGAGAGAGCCCTCGTGTCTTTCGTCTCCCCGTGACCGCTCGTTTGGAGCTCGTCAAGCTTCTTCTGTAGCTCCACCAGCTGTGATTGCAGTTCAGCTCTTTCCCGAATCACCGTCTCAGCTTCTGTAGAAAGCATCTCCAGCTGGCCTTCCAGCTTGGCCTTTTCCATCAGGGCCTTCTGGAGTTTGGCTGCCCCTTCTCTCAGCATCGCCGTGGTTTCTTCCATAAGCCTGTTGTGGTGGGTTACGCTGAAGGAGTGTTCCTCGACAGTTTCCTGGTTGGTGGAAGAGTACACGACCTGTTCGTACTCTGTGTCCTGCTGTAGCCTGACTGGAACGAGATATCCGACACTGTTTGCGGTGGGCATGACAGTTGGCCCGTTCTGATTGGTTGACGCAGTATGTCCGTTCTGATTGGTTGACGCAAACCTGGAGGGCGTGGAGCTTCCGATCGGTTGGAACACGGCCATGCCGTCAATCGGAATGTCGATTCCGGAATCGGTGCTCTTGGAGGGTTCTGGTTGGGGCGTCTTGTCCCCGTCGATTTCGTCTCCCCGGCCATCGTGAGAGTTTGTTTCCGCTCGTCCCCACTGGGCCACCTTCTGGACATAGCTGGTCTCCTGGCTCACCTGAAAACACAACAGCGCAGAATGAAATTGGCTGGTCAGTTCAACAGTTCAACAGTTTATTCATGAAAACCAGCCTCGCAGCCTGGACAAAACATGCTGAATAACACTGATATTCTAAAGTTGATTGTCTGGCAAATAAAAATTAACATTACAATACATATACAAACACACAAACAAAAAACATTACAAAAAGCCTCACATGTGCACTAAAGTAAAGACCAGACTGTCCTAAGAGTCTTACTGCGAAGACTTATTCTACAGGCATATTGCCTTGTGTAAGAAAGAGTTTTTCAGTCTTTTCGTACGGGCTGCTGGTACTGCATTACTACCATTAGACACTCTGACTGCATTCCATCTGGTTCTTTGGGAACCTACTGCTAAGGAGAAAAGAGGTAGGGGGAGACCCAGGGCCAGAGTCACCTACTTAGACAACGTGCAATGTGACACTGACCTGCATGATACTAACGAATTGCGAAGGGCCATGGAAGACCAAGTGTTATGGAGGAGACTTTCTGGACAAGTAAGTACATTTTGTCTCTTAGAAGTCAGCCAATTACAGTTGAGATCACCCATAATTATAACTTCCTCATCTAAGAGACAAAATGTACCGCCATTGGCGATACGCTGCCCCTTGGTAAATAAATAAAATAAAATGAAAGTAAGTAAGTGGCAAACCTGTGAGGCCAGAAGGGACTGGCCCAGGGTGGCCATTTCCGAGTCTGTGCTTGTCTCGCTCTCTCTCCTCTTGGGCGTCGATCGGATCGCTTCTTCACTTGAGTACCCGCTATGTTCGGTCCCTCCCCCATCCTCCTGTCCCGTCAGCGTGCTCGAACTTGCCGTGGTGGTCGTGCTAACGTCGCTCGCTTGGCTGCTAAACGATGAACGCCTCACGCGCTCGCTGGCCTGGCTGCTTGCCTGGCTTCCCGAGGACGATCGACGGCTCTCGTGGTACCTTGTGCTCGATTTCGGCGGCTTCTTCTTCGTCACTGACCTTCCCACGTTCTTGCTCTTGTGCCGAGGCTTGTCCGTGCTGACCGTTGGCGAGGGCGTCGTCCTCCTCACCGTGGTTACCGACTCCACGGGACTACGGAAGAGTTTCACCCCGCCGAAGTACGCAACGTCACCGTTCTCCGCGGGGGAGGGTGACTGGGGTTCCACTGTCGTTGTCTCAGTTGTTGTTATTGTTGTTGACATGTTGTTGTTGGTGTTGGTGACTGTGGGTTCTCTCTCTGCTGCTGGCAGCTTGGTGGGAGGTTCGAACATGTACGGGGACTGCCTGGCAGCTGGGGGGCTTGTCTGAAACATTCAGAAGAAGGAGCAAACTTCATGAGAATGACTAAATGCAGACAATTATAAATGAATTAACATGTCAATAGCACTATTGAATTAGACTTGATAGACAATGATTCTGAAAACCCTAATGTACTCAGTAATCTAAGTGTGCATGATCTATAAATTGTCTGCAAGATTGACTGTTCTCTAACGATTCTGTGCATTTTTCTTGTTACCTTTTGTTGGATTTCTGCATTTCATTTTAAGTCAACTACTGTGATGATCTAATTTGTCTATTGGGACCTCACTTAAATCACACAGTACCTGAGTTACATGTAAGTCTGTGCTTGAATTTTTTGCATTCCTACATTGTTGTTGTGGCCTTGGGCAACTGATTACTCTCAACTCAACATTATTATGCAAGAAAACACACTGATTTCGTTTAGTTTGCTTGTCTCTCAGGTTCCAAGTTTATACAATTATACAATTATTGAGTGCTAACAGCTTGAAGTGTCGATGTCATTCCTATAAAAGCATATACCAGACTGGTATGTTATTGCTTGCTTGAACAGTTCAATTTAGTCCTTATACTATAGAACCATGAAAGAACTGCATGGGAATACATGACATTGTACCTTATTTGGTGTTCTGCAATTTTTCGTTGTGAATTTGTTTTCGTGAACTCTGAATAGCAGATTGAATGTGAGCCAATTTCAGACTGTAACATCTGTGTCCATAATATCACCATAGTCCATAATATCGCCACCTTGAGAAAAGATATTTTTACTGCAACATACCCTAGGTATGTACATTTGAGGTGTGCAGGAGTGCATACCAAAAGTATGTTGCAGTAAAAATATCTTAAAGTACACCATTTGTCAAGGTGGCGATATTATGAACCCTGGTGATATTATGGACACGGATGTTACCTGCTCTGCAATTTTTCCCTGTGATGATTTTGTAGCATTTTACAGCATCTTAAAAACATGAGCCAGTTTTCAGACTGTACCTGCTGTTCAGTTTGTTGCTGGCTCCAGGTTTGGTACAGTCTCTGTTGAGTCTGTATATGAATCTGAAGCCTCTCCCTGTACTGCCTCTCTGCCTCGGCAATGGTCTGATCCGCTGACTGAGGGGGGAGGTCACCAGTCGGACTACCTGAAAGACAAGTTGTACATTACTGTAATTCATGATTTTTTTCACTGTACTGTTATGTTCACTGTTTTCACTGTCACTTCTGTACCACCAAACTTAACATTACAGTTAACAAATATTTCCTGGGCTTTCTTTTTCCTACCTGTCGCCACCGTGAATGTATAGTTCCGTGAACATGTCCTTTTTTCTATGACCGTGAACTTTGCTACCGTGAACATAAAGTGAACTATAGTATCCTCAGACTGCTGGGCCGTGTAGAGCTGTAATTACTGGTACATACGTGGCATTGTACAGGGGGAGGCATTGTACAAACCATTGTCTTTAGCTACTGAGCACTGTTCAACTTCACAAATAAGTAAAAGTTCAATAAAATTTATAAATCGTCAGTGATCAATTCAAAACAAAAAAGTAGCTTTGCCCCAACAAAATCACCATATAAAATACATGCGTCATGTCCCAATTTGCTTCTAGATCAACAGTTCCTACTGGGATTAACAAAAACTTCCAAAAGCACAGTCTATACACATGTCAAAACTCACTTTAAAGATTATCCACAATTGTATGGAACACAATGAATGCTATGTAAATACCTGTAGGCAAGCTTTTCAAAGAGGCTTGAGTAGTTAATAGAGTCAGTATATGACGTCAGTGCAAACGTAATTATACACCTCACTTGTGCCATGTGAACCATGACTAATATTAAACTTCCCTTCAATAAAGGATATGTAAATGTTAAATTTTCAATAAAACTTTGATTTTCTGCACTATACTGTCTGTAGCAACTGTTAAAGGCACAGTGTATTTCTTTCTTTGTTTGCAGGTATTTCAAGTGGAGAAATTTACCAAGAGGTCATTATAAAAACAGAAGGCTGGAAAACTACCGGTATGCTCACTTCCTGAAACTGTGTATGCCAAGGTTGCATCGCTACATACATGTAAGTTCTCCCCAGACTCCAGTTCAGCATTTCTTTTAGTTCTTTTGAATTCGAAAATCAAGTATATCATGTAAAGATTCCACTGTATGTATGTTTCAGGATTTATAAGGGCTTTTTTACCAATAATCTGTATTGTGATACTTTGTGTGACCTTACCTAGGCTAGCCTCCATAGCATGCCAAAAACTGGGGGTTTTGAGGGGTCTTCAGGGTCTTTGGGATCTTTTATGTGCTATTTTCTGATTGCATAATTATAGACAACATAGCCGGCCTGGTTGAATTACCCCCGTTTTTAGAACTGGGCTGATCAGAAAACAGCCGAAGACCACCAAACCCCCAGTTCTATAAGCCTGCTACAGAGGCTAACCTACAATGTAGGCCTCCTCCCTAAATGACCTCCATGAAAAACAGCCTGCAGGCTAATACTAGTAATAGAAGCCTCTAAATTTTTAAAGTAACATCAAGTAACCTGAATTAACAAAAGTATGTTCTTCAAGACTGTGAACTTATTATCTCAATCATAACATCAGACTCGAGTCTCACGTACTGAAATATAAGAGACTTAGCAAGAGACAAACGCAGATGGATTGAACTGTACAGACACATACACTGATTTGGCCTGTCAATTATTGTAGTTTGCTAATTGTAGCCTGCTAATTTACAACCAAGAACAGTTATTTATTATTGTTAAAGATTCCACTATGTTTCTAAAGGATTTATTGGGACTTATTGTGATACTTTGTGTGACCCTTAATTACCTAGGCCTCCTCCCTAAATGACCTGCATGAAAAACAGCCTGCAGGCTGTTAGGAGCCTCTCACCAGTAAATAAAGCTTATAACACTAACAGAGTCACCAATTAAGACATGTTTGGCCTAATTCAAAGACATTAAGACTCACCTGTAAGAGTAGACTCTGGTAACTGGAGAGTTTCGGCGAAGGACCTCAGCATTTCATTTCCCCAGGCCGCGGACTGGAACCTCGCTCCCTGTGACCTTTCCTCGGCACGTACCTCACCTGGTAGGTTCAGTTTTGAAGGGTAAATGTCAGGAGAGTCCATATCAGTGCTTACCGCGGGGAGGGGCAGGGCGGGGGTGTCCTTATAGTAGTCTTGCTTTAAGGAAAAGACTTGTTTCTTACCAGTGGTCAAGTCCAAGTCTGACTGTGAAGGTTCTAAGGTTAAAGAAGTTTTGCTTGAAGTTGAGAAAGAAGTGTTCCAAGAGTCAGGCAAGGAAAGATTGTAGGAGTGATCTGTCCCTTCTCCTGGGTCAAATGTACTGCTGTGAAAGTCTTCAGAAGGTGGTTGCGGAAAAGTGTCACACGTTCTGATTCTTACGTCGTCAGATCTGGTGTTGTCACTCTCTTCAATCACCAAGGAATTTCGCCCAATTATAGGACTTGTTGCATGAACTGATCGGTTGATATACGATTGGCTACAATTCCTTCTGAATCACACCAAACTTCAGACAGATTGTGGCTCCTATCACTTACTTGTGAGGAGGGGTAAGATAGCGTGGCCAAATCTGAGACAGATTTTTCCACGGTTTCACGTACCAGGTCCTTTCGAATCTCCCCAGCAAGGTGCTTCGATGACTCCCGCACTTCTTCGCTAGCCCGACCTCCTAGCGAGAGACCGATGTAGTCCAGGTCGGAGTCGTAAGAGACCAGGTTACCGCAGGGTTCCTGAAGGCAGGCGTCCGTTAGCGACTGGTCTACGTGGTGTGTGCTTGTGTTGCTCCAGGTCTGGTTGTCCATACATGGGGGTCAGTGACTCCATATCACGTCAGAGTGCCTGGGGGGAGGGCAGAATAATACGTCAGTACTGAAGGCCTTGTAACCAGTTAAACACTACCGGTAACAGGTTCTTCTTCATTTCTGCTTAGCCCCACAGCATAGAATTATTGGCAGGTTGTGCATTGTTAGTAACAATTGTGATCCTGTACATACATGTTGTATAAACAAAGGAAAGAGAAGGATAATCAAGAAGGGAACATAAATAACTGATTTTATGTAGGGTTGGTTCTGTATCTGTAACTCTGTATCTTTATCTGTCACTCACTCACACTGTATAGCCGGTATAACCGCCTTTCGGCGTAACACACCAGCTGGTTGATTCCCAAATTCTTTATAAGTCAATATGAAGTCAGGGCCAAAGGGGAAAGAGTCTCCACAAGTCTCTCACACTGTATATTGAATGTAAATAATTTACTGTAGCCCGACACATGAGCCCTCTGTTTTCATTCTTCAACAGTTGATTAAAATAAAAAGCAAGTACCAGAGGTAGAATCTGAATACGTACAAAGGTTCTCCCTTAGCAGACCAACTCCCCTGGCATCTTATCTCTCTATGTGGCCAATGTCTAGCTCTGCGTCTGGAAGCCTGGTAGAGGCTAGAACTAGAACTAGAAGTCTTAGACTAGATCTGTACCTTAGTCCACACAGTACATGCATTAGGAAGCATTATAATGCCAGATAATAAGATTCTTTTCATCTTGCCTTAGCCAGGTCAGTTTTCAAACTCACAGACATACTGGCTATACAGATACAGATATGTAGAACAATACATTGATACTACCAAGGAGCCTTGCAGGAGGTTTAAACCTTTTTGGTACTACCCAAGCCCAGACAGTACCAGTCAAGCCCTACAGCTGTCTCCTGGGATTCTAACCACCCCACCTTTTATGCTAATAACACACACAGGTGAGTCCAGACACCTGTAGGCATTGTTTTGGTCAATTGGTCAACAATTACAGGTGACAAGAACTGATGGATCTCATGCCCTGCAGACAAGGAAACACCAGGGAAGCTTAACAGACTCTAAATAGTCTAGATGACGTACCACTAGCATGGAATATGTGTACTCGTAATTGTGTTACACCTACCATTGGCTTAAAACGGCTGTGATACAATGGCTGAAAGGGAAAGACCTGTGGTATTTACCTACACTGCTTGTGCATACACGTACAAGAATGTCCACAATTTGCAAATTCCAAATAGACAGACACCATCATGGCAGGCCATTTGGGGATAGTTTTCCACTGGGACAACGATGCTAAAACAAATGGTAGAGTTACGTAATGTTTAAAGGAATACACACAAAAAAGGTTGACTGTACAATTTTCTAGCTACATAACAATCAGTTGGAAAAGCACACCGATATTGTATTAAAAGGTAGAACTTACACAAAATCATTTTCCCTGGGTTCTAAGACAGTGAGAAAATTTCCCAGACTCTTTATCCTTCTCTACAGGCCACATTCCACAACTGAGAGGGCCTGCATGCCCTTTTTCATAAGGCGTAATCAGGCCTTTTTAGACTTCGTAATTCGTAGGCAGCCTTCCCAAAAATCAACGTAATTCGTAAAAGGACATTAGCCGCAAATCACAAAGTCTTAATCAGCTCTGAGACTTTAACGTACTTCGTAATCGGCGACGAAAATTTTTCGTAAATTGTTGAATCACTACCCCCCATGCAGGCCCTCAACTGAGCCTAGCCCCCCACTGAAAAGTATCACCCTTCAACAGCACTTGGGTCAACTTCATGTGAACAGCCCCATTCATGCTTGTGTAAACAGGATAACAAAACCGCCTTCCCAAAACTGTTTTTCATACAGTCTGGACTTTACATCTGTTTACAAGACAACCACATAATGGGGAGGGAAACATGATGCAACCACTGTTGAAAGGCAGTGGTTCCCTTTAAATCAATTATACCATAGCCATTCTGCTGTATTAACGGTAATGTAAGCAGGATAACAATACTTAAAACTGTCTACCATTGACCACATAATGGCAAAATGAAACGTGATACAATGACTCCTTGGTAAAGGTTAGACATCCAGGTAATAAGCTAAGGTACCGTACACCAAAAAAAAAGTCACTCAACTGACTCAAGCAACTGGATATGATTTTGGAAACGGTCAGACGTTTCAGGTTAAGTATCCTGACTACCTTTCGTCAGTGACTCTCAGAGACCAGAGGAGAAATGCAGGCTTATACTAGTAAGCATGAACTATTGATGCAATGACTATTTAAATTAGGCAGCAAGTCCCTTTAAATCAATTATACCATAGCCATTCTGTGCTACTGTGGTAAAGCATTGACCAACAGGGCCCATGTGTGCCTGTGTTTACCCAAGGCGAAAGTAGACTCAGTTCTATTCTGGCAGCTGCCAAAACATCCTGCAGCCTGGCACTGTGTAAATATCCCAGGGCCAGGGCTACCCTATAGCATAGTTGGGCGACTGTTGCAGGGCTTCTCTTGCTTGCAGTCTTTTACAATAGTCCTAACAACATTGTTAGGGCTAATGTAAAAGACTGCAAGCAAGAGAAGCCCTGCAACAACTGCCATGTCTAGGCAGTGGACCGTGGTAATATTAGTAAATTATAGTAATCATCATTATGGTAGTGTGTAGAGGCACAGCAACATATTATAAAACTACTGTGGGGTATGATTCAAAATTTCAAACACAAGTGAAGGGTCTCGTATAACCGTTACACCTCAGATAAAATTTCTCAACAGACCACTCCCCCATAATTTACCTGGTAACATGATCTCTAGGTAACATGATCCCCCCACTGTTACAGTGCTTCTCTCATCTCACTTGCTATCTTTAATACAGTGTATTACTAATGACATTATACAATACAATGTCTGTTATTACTATGTACCCTGTACAACAGTGTATCGTATTGGTTATTTATGTGCCAGTAGTTCAATTTTCTTTACGTTTATTCTGATGACGACATTTGTGGCAAAGGTAAACACTCCATATTATGGCGTCTATGCGCCCCTCCCCTTCTAGATGGACATCATTTTTCTGCCCAAACCAAGGCGTTTTGAGCATCCTTATACAGTACAATAAAAAAATCACTTCAAGGTACAAAGGCATCTATCCTACAAACATTTTTGTCTTATTTCTTTTCTTACTGTACTGGAAACTGTCTCCCATCGTTTTGGCTAAGAATTTTGATATTCAACCTGACTTTTAATTCGCTGATATTAGGACAGTTTGAGGTGCTCATATCACATAATAAAGGCACCAACACCTTCCTCTACATGTATTAAGTTCACAGTAATCGTCTGTAAAACATAGAAGTACCTAGGGGGATAAAAATGGTGATATTTAACGTTTAAAACCTACCAAACCAGCGGGACAAAATTCCTGCGGCCTTCCGAGCCAGCTTGGCATATGGATCCCATACCGGAAGTCTCGCGCGCACTTCTCGCGAGGTTTGCAACTGGCGAGAGTTCAAGTTGGGATCCGCCCAGTAAATGCTAAAAATAGTAAAAACTTTTGACATATGCAAAGTTTTATCAAGGTTTAAATATGATAATCATGTATTATAATTGATTCAAATAAAAACTTTCTTTTCATGCTAAAATTATAGATAAGAAATATTACTAGCAGTGGATGATTTGGGAGCCAACTTATAAAAAACTTATGCCTGAACTTTTCACCAACTTTGAATACATAACAATGTTGATCAATTTTTCTGCTACCACCACGTTGAAAACGTAAGTATTGTTTTGGGTGTGCCTTTCTATGTACGTGCCTGTGTGCATGTTTCCAACCTCCCATATGTTTGGATCAATTAATGTCATAGAAAGAAAAAAAATGCTGCTATATTATAACAGAAACATAACCATACTAATGAAATTAAGACAAATTATAAAATTTACAAAAATTCTCAGTATTTCCATTACGAATAAGCCAATGAGACAGCTATGAAGTTCAAACCACTTTTAATGAATAAATGACTGGTTAATAATTAACTATTTAAAAAGTTTTAAAGTATATCATAATTTCAGCAGATCTCAACGCGTTTTTCCGATACAACTTTTTAATAAGATTGCTAGCGATTAACTCATTATCTAAGTATTACAATAAAAATTATCAGATATATTGTTGGTAATAATCCTTGTGTGCGATAAATATCAAGTTATGTCGTGTGAATGTTAAACAATAGTGCTGATAAATTGGCACTTAACACCATTGCATAATATATCAGTTATACTGAACAAGGCTAAAAACTCCTATCATAATTCATACGCTTTAATATGACAACATGTATTTACTTAAAATAAAAAGATTAAACCATGGAAATGTACATGTAAGTCAATGAGCCAGTATTTGTAATGGAAATGAAAGAGAAATTGAAAAAAATATAAGAACAAAACAGATCTCGAGACATGAAAATCCAAGTTCTGCTCCAATACATGCTGGATTGGAGGGGGGGTAAAAATGTGAATGAATTGCAACAGAGGGTGATGACACAGACTAAATTGCACACACATTACACACACACACAAGGAAATGAAGATAACAGAACAATTGACAACCATTTTTGTCCTAAAAAGCTCAGCTCACTGATTTCCCACTACACCATTCTTGCCACTGGCACCATTACATTTTGAGGTAGCCTTGCAACAGTTAATATCTGTGTCCATAATATCACCAGGGTCCATAATATCGCCACCTTGGCTTAAAGATATTTTTACTGCAGCATACCATAGGTATGTACATTTGATGTGTGAAGGACTGCATACCAAAAGTATGTTGCAGTAAAATATCTTTAAGCACACTGTTTCTCAAGGTGGTGATATTATGGACCCTGGTGATATTATGGACACAGATGTTACTAGTACTATACTAAGGTTTGCAAGAAAGTCAGAAATAGGAGGGTATCAAAGGGGTACTACTGGCATATCAATTTTTGCCACAACACTATGATCCCAATATACTCACTACCCCTGTACAGGCCTGTACTACTAACTTGACAATATTCAGAATCATGATCAGTTGAAGGGCTCCTTAATAGAAACATGATTAATTCAGGATACTGCTACCTTTCGTACAGCTTCTAACTTGGGAATACTACATAATCTTTCACAAAAAAGGTACTTATCTAACCAATACCATTAAACAGGTATCTTTTCCACAATTTCAAATGGTAACATTGCACCATACCATTGCAATCTGCAAAGACAACATAAACCTGAATGTTTTTTTTCACAACTTTTGCTGTAAGTTTAGAAAAAAAAAACAATGTAAAATATCTGCAAACTTCTGATTATAAAAAGTTTGTAGAGGGTCATGTTGAATACAAACATCTTTATAAATGTTGTTGAATACAAACAATTGTGAACAGTATCAAGTCTACATTCAGCTCCAGTAAATTGTAGTTATAATTAGTGCTACAACCATCCACTGTGGTGAAAAACTGGCTTTAAGACTTCTTAGTAATAATACGTAACTATCTAGCTGCTACAAATCTTTTTAAAAGATAGAGTACAAGGATTCAAAGAGAGTACATGTACCTCCAAGAAATTCCACTAGTACATTTGCATTTAAAAAAATGGGTACAGTCAAACTTGTGTAACCAGCCCACATCATGGCCACATGGTCAGAGCAGCCACTTGCTTTCTGGTACTCCCTTACACTGACAATGATATGACCAGATTTCTTTCATAGTCTCTACCAGGTTTCAGAAGTGCCTGGAAAGAGTAGAAACTGGTCAAATAGACAGATAATATATAAATATGCCAGGATGCCCAAGAAAACAATGTTTGAGAAGTTTGCCATTTAGAGAAGACTGGCCAACTCCCCTGGCATGTTATCTGTCTATTTGGCCAATTGCTACTCTTTCCAGTCACTTCTGAAGCCTGGTAGAGACTAGCTCTTTTGGTATAATTTCCTTGGGTGCTCACTAGACACAAGTCTGGCTGTATGCTGTTCCTGAAGTTTTAAGATCTAGACTTGAGGGTGTTTGCTCCAGTCATAGTACGTGTACTTTGGAGCAAAGTCCATGTTCCCCATGGTGTACTCGGAGTCTTCGCTGTCCTTGATGTTTGCCTTCCCGGTTTCGCACTCAGCATAGGAGGGAGGGGCTGGAAAATGTACAAAAAAACAGGCTGTGAAGATTTTGTGCTGGATTATCGCTAAAAAAATGTTCTTCCTCATTTTTCTTATTTTCTTATAGTGGGGACAAATTTACAAAGTTACATGGAGAAATTAAACTAGACAGTCACTCTGGTCTTCTTCAATAGACTGACCCAGTGACACTTTTCACATGGCTTCTCTGAAGTGTGATGCCAACACTGGGTCAAAGGTACATGTATCTGGTAGTGGTACATGATATCGCCCCCTGCCAAAGTTGAGTTTACCAGATACATTTGTACCAGGTACCTTTGACCCAGTGTGACTCTAGGTGAGAACAATCTCCTGTGTTCGATTAAAATAATTTGAACTTTCATGACACAAAAGACAGTATGACTTACGCAGACCAGGTGCCCCTGCCACAGGCTGCACAGGGGGTGGGGCGGACGGCATCATCCCAGCAGGGGGGGCGGACGGATACCCCCCAGGGAGGGGGGATGCCGCATCACCCCCAGGGGGGTACGCTGCACCACCA